TGGGCTGGATCGCCGTGATACTTCCGAAACATGGACACATATAACACTGGATGCACGGCTGATAAGCTCGGCGGCAATGCAAGTCTGTAAGCCACCTTGCCCACTCGGTCAAGAATCTCAAAAGGACCAATGAACCTAGGGCTAAGCTTGCCCCTCTTCCCAAATCTCATCAAGCCCTTCATAGGCGACACCCAAAGCAACACCCGTTCGCCGACCATGAATGTCACATCACAAACCTTACGGTCGGCATAACTCTTTTGCCTGGACTAAGCTGTACGAAGCCTATCATGAATGATCCTGACCTTGTCCAAGGCATCTTGTACTAGATCCATACCCAACAACCGAGCCTCTCCCGGCTCAAACCATCCAACCGGCGACCGACACCGCCTACCATATAAAGCCTCATAAGGAGCCATCTGGATGCTCGACTGGTAGCTGTTGTTATAGGAAAACTCCGCTAAAGGCAAGAACTGATCCCACGAGCCTTCAAAGTCAATGACACAAGCTCGGAGCATATCCTCCAAAATCTGAATAGTACGCTCGGACTGCCTGTCGGTTTAAGGATGAAATGTTGTGCTCAACTCGACTCGTGTGCCTAACTCACACTGAACTGTTCTCCAAAAATGTAAGGTAAATTGTGTACCTCAATCCGAAAATGATAGACACAGGCACACCATGAAGACGGACAATCTCTCGAATATAGATCTCAGCTAACCTCTCGGAAGAATAGGAGACTGTCACAGGAATGAAATGTGCTGACTTGGTCAGCCTATCAACAATAACCCACACTGCATCGAACTTTCTCTGAGTTCGTGGGAGTCCAACAACGAAGTCCATAGTGATATGCTCCCACTTCCACTCATGAATCTCAATCTTCTGAAACAAACCACCCGGTCTCTGATGCTCGTACTTTACCTGCTGGCAATTCAAACACCGAGTCACATATGCAACAATATCCTTCTTCATCCTCCTCCACCAATAATGTTGCCGCAAATCCTAATACATCTTAGCGCCCGGATGAATAGAGTACCGGGAACTATAGGCCTCCTCTAAAATCAACTCTTGGAGTCCATCCACATTAGGCACACAAAATCGACCCTACAGCCTCAAAACTCAATCATCTCCTTATGTAACCTGTGTGGCACCATTGTGCTGCACCGTGTCCCTAAGGACACACAAATGAGGATCATCATACTGCCGATCTCATATACGCTCCAATAAAAAAAAAAGAACGAGCGGTTATGCAAGCTAACACACGGCTGGGCTCAGAAACATCCAACCTCGTGAACTGATTAGCCTGAACATCCAAAACAAGCGGTCTCTCACCAATTGGAATATATGCAAGACTGCCCATACTAGCTGACTTCCTACTCAAAGCATCGCCCACCACATTGGCCTTCCCCGGATGATATAAAATGGTGATATCATAGTCTTTCAATAGCTCCAACCACCTTCTCTACCTCAAATTTCGCTCCTTCTGCTTGAACAAATACTGCAGGCTCTTGTGATCCGTGAACATCTCATGACACGCCATACAGATAATGCCTTCAAATCTTCAATGCGTGAACAATGACTGCTAACTCCAAATCGTGAACTGGATAATTCTTCTCATGAATCTTCAATTGCCGCGAAGCATAAGCAATGACCTTGCCATCTTGCATTAACACCGCACCAAGTCCAATACGAGATGCATCACAATAAACTGTATATGGCCCTGAACCTGTGGGCGAAACCAACACCGGTGCCGCAGTCAAAGCTGTGTTGAGCTTCTGAAAGCTCGCCTCACACTCGTCCGACCACCTGAACTAGGCACCCTTCTAGCTCAACCTGGTCATCGGCTCTACAATAGATGAAAACCCCTCCACAAACCAACGGCAATAGCCTACCAAACCCAAGAAACTCCAGATCTCTGTAGCTGAAGGCCAGTTTTTAACTGCCTCTATCTTCTTCGGATCTACCTGAATACCCTCTGTTGATACAACACGACCCAAGAATGCAACTGAACTCAACCAGAACTCACACTTCGAAAACTTAGCATACAACTGACTATCTCTCAAAGTCTGAAGAACTACTCTCAGATGCTGCTCATGCTCCTCCCGGCTGTGGGAATAGATCAAAATATCATCAATGAAGACTATCACGAACGAATCTAAGTAAGGCTTGAACACCCGGGTCATCAAATTCATAAAAGCTTATGGGGCATTTGTCACCCCAAATGACATCACTAAGAACTCATAATGCACGTACAGAGTGCGAAAAGCTGTCTTAGGGACATCGGATGCCCTAATCCCCAACTGATGGTAACCATATCTCAAGTCAATCTTCGAAAATACCTTGTCACCCTGAAGTTGATCAAGTAAATCATCAATCCTCAGCAACGGATACTTATTCTTGATTGTAACCTTGTTCAACTACCAGTAATCTATACACATCCTCATTGATCCATCCTTCTTCTTAACAAACAACACCGGTGCACCCCAAAGCGAGACACTAGTCTAATGAAGCCTTTATCAAGCAAGTCTTGCAACTGCTCCTTCAATTCTTTCAACTCAGGCGGGGCCATTCGATACGGCACAATAGAAATGGGCTGGGTTCCCGGAGCCAAATCAATGCAAAAGTCAATATCCCTGTCGGGTGGCATACCCGGCAGCTCTGAAGAAAATACCTCAGGAAACTCACGAACAATAGGCACATAATCCATAGAAGGAACCTCAGTACTAGAATCACGAACATATGCCAAATAGGCCAAACACCCCTTCTCGGCCATTCGCTGAGCCTTCATATATGAGATAACCCTACGGGTAGAATGACTAGGAATCCCTCTCCACTCTAAACGAGGTAAACCCGGCAAGGCTAAGGTCACAGTCTTGGCATGACAGTCCAAGATAGCGTGGTAAGGTGATAACCAGTCCATCCCCAATATGACATCAAAATCAACCATGTCCAAAAGTAACAAATTTACTAGAGTCTCAAGACCCACAATCACAACTATACATGAACGATGGACATGATCCACCACAATAGAATCACCCACCGATGTAGACATATATACAGGAGCACTCAAAGAATCATTAGGCATGACCAGATACGGTGCAAAATAAGATGGCACATAGGAGTACGTAGACCCTGAATCAAATAGAACTGAAGCATCTCTAATACAAACCAGAACAGTACCTGTGATAACTGTATCGGAAGCCTCAGCCTCAGGTCTGGCTGAAAGAGCATAACATTAAGGCTAGGACCCACCACTCTAAACTACATCTCTAGGACGGCCTGCTGCGGGCTGGCCTCCACCTCTAGCGGCTTGAGCTCCACCTCTAATACCTCTACCTCCACCTCTAGCCCCCCTACCTCTACCTCTAGCTGGCTGAGTAGGCGGTGGAACACTCGGTGCCTAAACCATGGCACGGGAACCCTGGTGCTGAGAACTGCTCGGTGCTTGAGGACAAAATCTAGCAATATGCCTCGTGTTGCCACAAGTAAAACAAGCCCTCTGCCGCTGGGGTTGACGACCCTGAAAACTCTGAAGCGGAGGTGCACTGATAGAAGCTGGCTATGCGCTACAGGACTGCTGATCAAAATACTGTATGTGAGAACCACGAACACTTGGGGCACCGTGAGAAGCTTGAAGTGCTGAATGAAATGGCCTGGGAGGATAGCCCCTACCAAAAAACTCTCTGCCTCTAGATGAGGGACCACTAATGCCCAAATGAAGAAGCCTCTTGTCAGACCCCTGACCACTCCCTTATGATAGAACCATCTCGACTCTCTTGGCCACATTGGCCGCATCCTGGAAAGAAATCTCGCTCCCCGTCTCCTTAGCCATCTGCAATCGAATAGGCTGAATGAGACCCTCAATGAACCTCCTCTCTCTCTCTCTCTCTCTCTCTCAATGGAAAGTATAAGAAGAGCATGACGAGCCAAGTTAATAAATCTAGTCTCGTACTGAGTTACAGCCATAGAACCCTATTGGAGACGCTCAAACTGCCTTGATAGTTCTCCCTTTAAGTGATAGGAAGAAACTTCTCCAGAAATAATTGAGAAAATTGGTCCTAAGTCAAAGTTGGTGACCCAGCGGGTCTAGCCAAACAATAATCTCTCCACCAACGGATCCCAACAAATGAAAAGCTGCAAAGTCGACCCCATTGGTCTCCACTATCCCCATGTTCCGAAGAACCTCATGACAGTTATCTAAATAATCCTAGGGATCCTCAAAAAATGCACCGCTGAAAGTGGTAGTGAAGAGCTTGGTGAACCTGTCCAATCTCCACAAGGCATCAGCAGACATAGCTGCTCCATCATCGATCTGAGCTACCACACCCGGCTGAACTGCTCCAACTGGCTGAGTTGCCAGAGTCTGAAACTGGGGAGCCATCTGCTCCGAAGTGCGGTAGTAGGAGTCTGTGCTCCTCCCCCGGCTTGAGAGACGGCTGGTGCTACCGGAATTAAGCCTGACCGGGTGACACTCTCCATAAGGCCAACTAGATGGACCAGAGCATCCTGGAGTACTGGGGTAAAAATGAACCCCTCTGATACATGAGCAGGGCCCACCGGAACTGGCTGGGCCGAAACCTCATCATCAAACTCAACCTGAGGCTCCGCCGCTAGTGCTGCTGCTCTAGGCTAAGCTTTGCCCCTGCCTCGGCCTCCATCACGGCCTTGACCTCGCTGTCTCCCCCTCGTGGGAGCTGCTGTTGGGGGCTCGGGATACTGATCAGTAGATGAGAAAGCGCATGTTCTTGCCATCTGCTAAAGAACAGAGTATAAATTCAATTAGCATTGAGAAACCAAACGGCACGACAGGAAAGAATAGATGTGAAGTTTTTCCTAACTCTGTAGCCTCTGGGGGATAAATATAGACGTCTCCGAACCGATCTCTCAGACTCTACTAAGCTTGTCCGTGAATTGTGAGGCCTAACTAACCTAGAGCTCTGATACCAATATAATAGGTGATCAAACATCGAAATAATTAAAAAACCAGAAATGCGAAAGACGAAAACTTAATAGTTTAACCAAACATTGTTATATGAATCCGATATATAACACTACCCAAAATTTGGTGTCACAAAGTCACGGACTATCTACGAATACTACAAACAGAGGTTTAAAAGATAAGTACAAAGTTGTCTCTAAAATACATAAAAGAAACAGAATGGAAAGATAGAGGGAGACGCTAAGGCCTGTGGATGCCTACATGACTACTTCGGGTCGCCTATTGGACTGAAGACAGCAACCTCACTGCGGTCCAAAAGTTGTAGCACCGGGATCTGTACACAATTTAGAGTTTAGTATCAGCACAACCGACCCCATGTGCTGGTAAGTACCTAGCCTAACATCGGTGAAGTAGTGACGAGGCTAGGACCAGACTACCAAATAAACATGTGCAATTAAATCATATACAATGGAAAGATAAAAGCAGATAATTACAGCTAAAGATGGGAGGGGAAAACATGTTGCGGGGAATATCAGCTAACAAAAGAATACCAAAAGAGGAATGTAAAGAAACCAACATTTAAATGCCAACAAGAATAAGGAAAACAAACACAATATTCACTTTCATTTCTTCCTCATTGCAGGCGTGCAACCCGATCCCATTTCATATATCACCATGGCGGCGTGCCACACGATCCCATTTCATATATCTTGTTACAGCGTGCAACCCGATCCCATTTCATATATCTTGTTGTAGGCGTGCAACCCGATCCCATTTTATGTATCACCGTGGCGGCATGTCACTTGATCCCATTTCATATATCCTGTTGTAGGCGTGCAATCCGATCCCGTTTCATATATCACCGTGGCAGCGTGCCACCCGATCCCATTTCATATATCTTGTTGCAGGCGTGCAACCCGATCCTATTTCATATATCACCGTGGCGGCGTGCCACCCGATCCCATTTCATATATCTTGTTGTAGGCGTGCAACCCTATCCCATTTGAAAAATCAACATCAATCATAAAAGAATCCCGGCAAGGAACACGAGTATAACAATAACATCCCGGCAAGGGAGACAATATCGTAAACAATAACATCACAGCAAGGGAAACAATATCATAACAATGACATCCCGGTAAGGGAACTAACAATGATAATCATTATATTAAGCATGAACAAATTATAATGAAGTCACAACAATTACCATACGAGACTCACGGGTATGCTTGACACCGACGTATAGATACTCGTCACCATGCTTATACGTCGTACTCCACAATTAACACATAGCAAATAAGATACAACTCCTAATCCCTCAAGCTAAGGTTAGACCAATCACTTACCTCGATGCCACGAAGAGAATTCAAGCCTCAACTACTGCTTTACCTCTTGTTTCCACTGTCACACCTCTTTTTTTACCACCGAAAGGGTATATAAGGGAGTTTTTTCCAATTTAAGTGACAATCGAAACGGGATTATTTTATTTAAAATTCAGAGTCATCACTTGGGATAGTTTATTGGTGTCCCAAGTCAATGGTTTAAAATCCCAAACCGAGGAATTTTGACTCTGTTTTACAGTCCGCAAAACACAGAGATCCGGGTCAGGAATTCTGTTAACCCGGGAGAATGTGTTAGGCATTCCCGGGTTCCGTAATTTTAGCACGGTTGCTCAACTATTATTAATTGACTTAGTTATCTGATTAATTACATATTTAAAACCTATGTGCATTTTATTCCTTTTAAAATCGCTTTTAATAATCCAATTGTTATACAACTAATTATTGATTGCACGATTGCGAATCATGTCACGAGAGCCGTACCCACGATCCACAACGTACTCATTTTATTTAAAAAGATTAAATTGTGGCCGGGTCACACAAATGTACCCCGAATTTGGAAATTAAGCATCACAACTACGTCATGGGAACCGTAACCGTAGCTATGACGGTTTATTTAATTAATGCTCCTAAAGCAAACTACTAGAGATTCATTTTTAATATCTAAATTATACGAAATTTATATGAGGGCCATGTATGATTAAAACGTGGATGGCTCACCCCGGAGTATTAGTAACCTATGAAAACTAATTTTATTATTAAGGAAGTTTGTTCGAAGTTGGACGAACGCATACCTTAATTTATATGGAAATCACTCACTTGCTCCTTTCAATCAAATAAGCAACTTGTTATGATGGATAATTTTACCAACCAAAAATTTAAACATTTTTCTTTACAAGCAAATTAAGCAAAACAAAAGATATGCATCAGTACGCAAGAAATTCACTTGCTTCCTAATTGTTTTTTAAGCATAGATAATTATTAGGATTGAGCCTTTGAAAATAGAAAAGGAATGTAAATCCTACTTGTGCCTGATATAAACGCAGGTTGCTAAGGCAGCTAAGCTTCTCGAAACCATATTTGTCAAACACTTAATTTCCACACAGATAATTTCTGACATAATATACATGAGACCTCTAAATGTAACTATGAGTAAATCACCATATGGAATAATAAGAAAAGTTTAAATATCATACATAAATTGTCAATAAGATGCTATAATCAATTTCACTGGCCATGCAGGCTCAGTAGCATGTTAAAATCAGATGTAGAATTAGAAAACAAGCGTTGACATATATAAACAGGTATGCGTAAACTAAATCCAAGCAAATCAATTTTAGAGGAAATGTGTAAGTGGTCGAATAAATGGAACTTGGACTTGCCTTGCAGAAAACTTTTGCGTAACAGCTTCGGTGATCTCTAGATCGACAATATTCCGGACTAGATCCACGTTTTCATTCCCAAAATCCCAGTAGAGGAGATCGAACCCACCCCAAAACAGAGAACCGGAACTGAAGCTAACGAACGGAAACTCTGTCTAACTCGAACTCGACGGCAATCGGACCCAACTTCAGCGACTCAAACCACGATCAAAAAGCTGCTCGTACTTGAACGGTTTGAGAGCTATTTGCAGCTTGTTTCGCTGCTTCTAATGGCTGGAGTTCAGAGGTGATTCAAGCGCGTTTCCGCTGGGCTTTTGATTGGGATTAAGGTCGTTTTTTCAGTTGTGTTTGTGTGTGACTGAAACTGGAAAGGAAGGGGTTGTTTTCCGGCGGGTTTCAGGCAGTGAGGTCTGATGGCTACTGATTTTCTGAGGCTGGGGATGAGGGAGACGACAGAGGCGGTAGAGTTAGGGTGGAGCTTCTTTTCATGGCTGCTGCGGCTTAAGCTTCCTTAGAGCTCTGGGTTTTTTCTTGTTGGCTTTTTTCATGAAGAAGAAGATCAGGTTGGGGTCCTTTTTTGTGTCAAGCGGCGCGGATAAAAATGTAAGGTTTTTTGCCTAGGTCAATTTAGGGATTAGGTACTATTATATAGGGTAGGTATTAGGTTAGGGGTATAGGCCTAGGAATTATGGGTTTGATAAAAAATTAGGCCTAAAAATTGCTCGAGCCCAAGTTTTATTCTTTCTCCGCGAACGAGCCTAAAAATACGATCTCATTTATTAATTAATCCTACTTAAGTAAAATAACCATTAAAATAAGACTGGCCGTTAAAACAAAACTATTTTTGGTATTTTTCAAGATTAAAAATGATTACAAAACATTAATGAAACTATTTTTTTTTTAATTTTTGTTTTCTTGTAATAAAATAAACTAAAAGAGTAAAAATTAGTTGAAATAGCTATATTATGCCTAAATTAAATATTTACGTACTAAAATATGAAAAATCTTGGAGAGGGTCAAAAATCACATGTCTACATCCACCACCAAATTCGCTTGTATCTAGCCACAAGTTACTTAACTATATTAATAAATGCTAAATGAATCAATTTTAATGCATGAAAATAAGTTTTCCAATGATTTTCCCAAAAAGTCAAAAATCGACCCTGGGCCCACATGGTCAAAACCTCAGGTTCGAAGCAAAACCCGATTACCCATTCACCCACGACTCCAAATGTATAATTTATTTTGAAATCGGACCTCAAATCGATGTCCAAATCCCAAAAATTTAAAAAATCTAAGTTCTACCCAAAACACCCAATTTCCCCCATGAAAACCCTTGATTTTTAGTTGAAACCATGTGAAAAGATGTTAAAGATTAAGGAAAACGAGTTAGAAATGACTTACAATCGATTTGAAAGAGTAGTTGTCTTTGAAAAATCGCCCAAAGATGTTTAGGTTTTGAAAAAGTTTGAAAAATGCTGAAATTTTCAGCTAAATTATGATTTAGCAGGTTGCAGATGTCGCAATTGTGACCAGGGTTCGCAATTGCGAATCCTTAATAAACTTGTTATCTTCGCATTTGCGATCAGATGTTTGCAATTGCGAACTCGCATTTGTGAAGGGAATGTCGCATTTGCGACAGCTGGGGATATCTGGGTTATTCGCATTTGCGAAGAATTGCTCGCAATTGTAAGAATGGCTGCCCAGGGCATACCCTGCAATTGCGAAGTGACCCTCGCAATTCCCAAGCCTGATAGTCTCGCAATTGCGATACCTGACCTTGCAATTGCGAGATCTGGGCCTACAACACATACCAACGGAAAACCTGCAACTTCCTAAGTTCAATTCCACTCCATTGCCTATCCAAAACTCACCCAAGCGCTCGGGGCTCTAAACCAAACATGCACACCAACTTAAAAACATCATACGGACTTGCTCGTGCAATCAAATCATCAAAATAACACCAACAACTATGAATTAAACCTTAAATTCATGAAATCATTCAAGAACACCAAAATTTTCAATTTCTCAACTTTAAGTCCGTTTTATAGAAAACCAATTCCGATCTTTATCAAATTTTACAGATTCAAGCTAATTATTATTTCAAACTTATACCGAGCTCCGGAACCAAAATACGAGCTCGATACCATCAATTTCAAACATCTTTCATTTCTAAAAACTCTTATATATTCTAGAAAATAATTTTCTTTAAAAATTTGTTTCTCGGGCTTGGAACCTCGGAATTCAATTTTGGGCATACGCCCAAGTCCCATATTTTCTACGGACCCTCTGGGACCGTCGAATCACGGGTCCAGGTCCATTTACCCAAAATGTTGGCCGAAGTGAACTTAAATTTATTTTAAAAGAAAAACTTATTATTTTTACAGATTTTCACATATGACTTTTCGGATACGCACCCGGAATGAGTACGAAAATCGAGGTGAGACAGAAAAAGGTTTTTAAGGACTCGGATCGCAGAATTTACTTGTATAACAAGTGATGACCTTTCGGGTCATCACATGCTACGCCTTCTATAATTTTGCGTAAGTATTCTCTACCGATCATGAGCGCTTTGAGTGTCGTAATTCTCTCCCGAGTAACTACCATAATTTACTAGACATATTCTTCCGAACTACGGTAGCTGGCACTAAGTTACGGCTCACTCGAATTGCACCAAGGTTTCGTTATTCCTAATCACACCTTTAAACCCTCCGTATTGATCCCTCATATACTTTAGGAGTGATGTTGTTCAACAACTACTAAATATGCACTCTCTTCCGAGTAATACACACGAAATAGGCACAGTCGATCGAGAGCTCTTCAACCAACCATAATATAAACGCAGTTGAACAAATAGAGAAATTCAATGGCTCAATTATATAAAAACTTAACAAGAATTTATCCTACAAAAGGTTCTATCAAACTCTAGATAAGAAAT